CAATGTGGATAACTGGTCTCAATACGTTGGAAAAGGACGTACAGTTACGGCTTCTTTTTTTTACTAAAATATTACCATTTGTATCTCGATTTGGCAACTGTTCACTTGAGTCTGTATTCGTGGGCTTTATCTACGTTTTATTATTCTCAGTGGCGAATATCCGGGTATAACTGGTGAAAACAAAGGTCGAAACCTCTCAGAAAACTGATCTTTGAGCTAGCTGCTTTCAAATCTGCGACATAGTGGAAGAATCAGAAGATCCGAGATTAGCAGGTGTGGGTACTGCTAACGGACCAACATGCAAAGCGAGTTACTCCCCAACACATTAAAGAAAATAACTACTACTACAAGAATATGGAGGTATGTGATCTATTTCAAATCTAGACGAAGACCAAAACTGACGACCCGGGACCAGGATAAAGTGAAAACTATGCGATGCAAATTTGAAAGAAAACACCGACATACATCGCCAACAGAATAACACGAAGTTCAAGAAAACTTTCACAAGAAATTAAACTACATGGAACACCTCCAGCGACAACTTGAAAAGTATATATAAAAATACACCGAACATCGAAAATTCAACAGTCATCGAGTTTTACGGAAGACTATGAAATTACATGTCAATATAAGGAATTTTTTTTTTCAAAATATCATTGAAATTGCATCCTTCAACATGACTTTTTACAAACTTTGTGTATTCCAATGTACGTGATTTATCTCATTGTTTTGCCATGGCTATTGTCGTGCACTGAATTCGCTGTTTAATTTGACGCGGAATGTGTGCAAACATTTCATTTTGGGCAGAGTGGATAATTACAGATTAGCCAACTGTAGTTCTCTATTCGCCAAACCTGTTTTTTTTAATTGTGATTACAATAAGAGAGTTATTATTTCATCGAAGTTTCAAATAAGTCAAGCGACAGATGAATGGTCAGAGAACCTAACGCTTTATTTATTGTATTTAATATTACTGAGTTGTTATTGTACCTACTTTGTTGTTATTGAGTTGTGTGAATGAAGGATTGGTGGTCAGAGACACCACACCTTGTCGTTTTAGTCGTTATGCTCTGACATGATACTAGTTTTAAGTGTTCTAGGGTAAAGAGGGACACATTTATTTATTTTTGTCTCACATAGTTGCGCAAGTATCGATAAAAAAAGTATGTACATCAACAAACTATTGACCTATAACACTATACTGACGTCATATCAAGTATGTTTAAAATTTGTAAAGCCATTGTAAATTGTATGACCCTTGTTTCGGTACTACAGAGACGCACACTTGTATTGTTATACATGTTGCTAATCAAAGTGATATACTTTTGAGTGAGGACGCTTTTTATGGAGTGAGGTCACTCCATGGTGGGAAAATTTGCATGTTACCAGGCCTAGATACTTTTGAGCGAAGACACATTTTATGGAATGAGGTCACTCCATATTGGGAAAATTTGCATGTTACCAGGCCTAGATACTTTTGAGCGAAGACACATTTTATGGAGTGAGGTCACTCCATGGTGGGAAAATTAGCATGTTACCAGGCCTAGATACTTTTGAGTGAGGACGCTTTTTATGGAGTGAGGTCACTCCATGGTGGGAAAATTAGCATGTTACCAGGCCTAGATACTTTTGAGCGAAGACACATTTTATGGAGTGAGGTCACTCCATGGTGGGAAAATTTGCATGTTACCAGGCCTAGATACTTTTGAGCGAAGACACATTTTATGGAGTGAGGTCACTCCATGGTGGGAAAATTAGCATGTTACCAGGCCTAGATACTTTTGAGCGAAGACACATTTTATGGAGTGAGATCACTCCATATTGGGAAAATTTGCATGTTACCAGGCCTAGATACTTTTGAGCGAAGACACATTTTATGGAGTGAGGTCACTCCATATTGGGAAAATTTGCATGTTACCAGGCCTAGATACTTTTGAGCGAAGACACATTTTATGGAGTGAGGTCATTCCATATTGGGAAAATTTGCATGTTACCAGGCCTAGATACTTTTGAGGGAAGACACATTTTATGGAGTGAGGTCACTTCATATTGGGAAAATTAGCATGTTATCAGCCTTGGATACTTTTGAGCGAAGACACATTTTATGAAGTGAGGTCACTCCATATTGGGAAAATTAGCATGTTATCAGCCCTGGATACACTCGAATGTTCTTAAACCATATATTAAGCCACCGTGAAGTCCCAGTCATTCTCGTTTATTTTGAAAAGGTTACCAAGCGTTACCTAACATTCAATTGTCTTGATGTTTTATTACTTTGGTATTGATTGTGAGTTGCTCCATTAATGGACGCTCAATACAACAATTTACATATTGCTGGGTCTGCTTGGCCAATGTAACTACATTGCGAATACCACGTGACCCATGATTCCTTCCCTATAAAAAGACGGGAGTGATTTTTATTTTCGGTGGTCGGCGTAGGTCGGTCATCGTGGTCATTCGTGGTTGTCCAACAACATGTACGTTCAGGAGTAGCCGCGTCTTGTTCATGCATGGCTCTTTAATAACCCGCTACCGTTATATTAGTGTTTGAACTTGACATCATTGTTTTACTATTTGTAGTGTACAAAAGACTATAAAAGTAAAAGGGATCGATAATATTTCAATTGTTATATTGGTAGCTTATTGCTTCTCATCCCTAGGAGGAACCGACATAACATTCACAACGGTCATAATTTATTAATGAATCGGTGCAGATTCCATTCCTCCCGTGTAAGAATGATTAATTACGTTGTCAAACACTTAGCAGGCGTAATGGTGTGCTGTTTGTGCAGCTTGACATAATTGCGCAAGCCAAGACAGAACCGCCATTGTGAAAGACCATGAATACATTGAAGTCGTCTGGTATGTAGGAACTTTTATGAGAAGATGGACCGCCCTTTCAAAGTTCCGGAACAACTTTAACCGTTTGATATAGACGCTAATATCTGTGTAACTAGTTCTTTAATGCTGTACGAACTTTCTGGCGACTTTTTCAACTACACGCCCTTTGAATTATACACCGCACGCCGTGTTAACTAGGTCACAGCTCGAATGCTAGTATGTTAATACACACACGTTACTATTTTATCTCTATTTTTTTTTCACACGTTTTCGAAAAAGTAGTGCGAGTGTCAAAGCATAAATATTACATCTACAGGAATGAGATGTTTGATTGACTGATTGATTGATTGATTGTGCTCATAATTACAGAAACTATGTACATTTTAAATAGAATTACTATGGTAACCTAACAATATGCCTCATGCACGATTCCTAAAGGTCACACATCCTGGTACTTTCTGGGGGTGCAAATTCACTATAAATTATTTTTTGTCATATTACAAAAAATTAAAGCTGTTGTCGTTAACAAAATTTACATAAATTGAGGTATAATAATGGAAATTATCGCCATCGGAGAACCTACACTAACTACTAGGATGTCTTGTCTGAGGTTAAAGAGTTCATTAACACTGATGACCGATTTACTTCAGATGGAAATGAAGATGAAATTTGAACTCAGGTCGATGCACTGTGTTCATGTTGCCACTGAAAATCACAGACCACACAGCCACGGCAACCCGGGTAGCAAGCTTGACGTCACAGCGAAATAACATCAGTATTGCGTTACGTCATCATCTATTTGTGTATGGGGCCAATTATGTCCGCGTTCGTTATAAGCTTGTTCGCAATAAAAACCACTGCCACATGATTACATTCTGCAAAAAATTGTAATGGTGTATATTAAAGAGATTCCCTCCGGGGTCCCATTTTCATGTTCACCTGAACGAACCGTAACCTTTCATCCAATGAGTTGGGGCAAGGCCGAAAGATTGAATTGTGGTTGGTAGAAAAATTATATTTCGTCTTACTTTTTGACAAATTTTGGCAAATTTTACTGCATTCCTAATTACATCTGTTGACCGGTCCCAATATTCGTGACAATATTAAATTTATTAGTTTCAGCTGACAATCATTTTAAAGTTCGCATGAGAAAATTCTTCTTTCATCCAACGTTAAATTGAGCTGGTGCAAGGCCGAAGATTGGAGAGTATATAATTATGTTTCATGTGTAAAATGTTGACAAATCTGGAGCCGGTCAATACCACGTCCCAAACTACAGTTGCAAACCGAACACTCCGCCCTTGCCTTACTCGGGCAAGCTCGGTAATTTGGACTCCTCCCCTCCTGATACCCCGTCCTTCTTCAGTTGATTATGACCGCTTGCAGTAACGCAACCCAACTCCGCGTGACCGACGTTAAAAGCAAAATTAATGACTTTATAAATATAAGTACAGACAAATTAAGACTTATAAACACGAACACACAAGATTCGAACACGAACACGGCAAAACGTCTCGCCATTGTAAGCGGACGCGCACGTAGACACAGTTTTCCGAAATAGGGTAGCGTGAAAATAGCGACAAACATATTCAATATACATGTACTATTAACACATTTTAGTTTATTGCTTACTAATTAAAATTTGCAGATACCAGGGTCGTGAAGGTCATGTGAATTCAAACCATCTAATGAAAGTGATAAAAATGTAAAACGTGTGAGCCGCCACGTACTCCAGCACACCAGCGCCTCTCAGTTGTATGAAACAAAAACTCGTAACTTCAGATGCGCTTAGTGGATTTCACATCTCTCATTATTTACGGGCATCTTACAAGGCCCATCACCGATCATCACTTGCTACATTGAAACACGCGATTCCATAGCGACGCAACTTTTATGTCCCGAATTCCACTATCGTTGTAACACTAATGGGCCAGTGAATTATACTGGCCTACGTGCGAGAGCACATGACTTGTATTGCAGTATAAACATTTAGGCGAACCACGTGATAAGACCCCTTTTGTTACTGGGTCTACATCAACCCGGCAACATCCGACCGCTGCTCAGTTGAGTTCTCCGCTTCGATCCAACCACTTGATTCAGGCTGTAGGATAGCAGGTACGTATAGTCAACTTTACGTTAAGGTTTCTGCAAGGCAAAATAAAACCATTCCGTTACATCTACGGTATACCTGTAACGTGTTTGAAAAGACATTAAATGTAAACTTGAATAACCGCTGTTTTAAAGCAATTTACATGTCTCTAAATATATTTTCCGACCTTATTTTACTCGTCCCAAATTGTTGCTTATCGCACAAAAATGCGCGACCACATTTTCGTTTTGATGTTTTAAATTCAAGTTGTTTGCAACTGTTTCGCCGTGTCAACATAATGGGGAATTTTGATCATACATTATATTGTTGTTCAACTTTGAGCGCAGGTATTTTTTTTTTTATCATTCATACCCGGTGCGAAAATTTAAAAAAAAAAAAATGTATCCCGGGTATCTTGATCGCAGATGGAGCAGCACAGTATTCAAAGAAACGTTCCACAGTAATATTTCCGAACTTATTGTTAGAGATTATTCTCATGTAGTTATATATTGTGTAAACTATATTGCCAAAACCGGGAAGTTTTGTTACGGAGAGAAAATACCATGTCGCGAACTGACAAAATGGTCTCCACGTTCAATGCTAATTGTAATTCATTATTATGTAAATTTGCATGGGAGGGCGAGATCTGCACCCCCTGAAACGCTATTTCCTGCTTTTTGAGGGGCAAAATTTGCTAAAGGGGTTCAGCTTGACTTTGGAGGGGAGACTCCCCCAACATCTGTTTCTCTCTGGTCCCGCTGTTCCGCAGCCACTGATGAACTAGTGTTAAACTTCATATTACACCTACATTCCCCTGCGCTTCCACGTAGACGGGTCACACGGCATCTGGAGAAGACACCGGCCTGTGTTTATGTGATTATGTAATATAGCCCCTCGTAATCTACAGGAACAAGCCTAAATTGCAACTTCACAACTAGTGCAAGAAACGACGGCTTGTCACAGATTTGTCATAATCATGGACGTATTCTGTTAAACCAAAAAATAACTGAGGTTCCACTTTTCGACCACGTGCTAATATCTGATACTTTGTAACATTTAGTGCATTATTATCCCTTTACCATTTCCACACTCTCCGGAGAAAATTCCAGCATTTGCAAAGGACTACTAGTATTCATACTGAATAATGTATTGACATTTCCCAAGTTTTCGATAATGATGTACATTGGCTTCAAATATTGAGTTTTTATTGCTATGTATGGAATGAGAACAATATAATATGGGTGTAAAATTGAAATGTATTTACAATGTGATCAAAACAACTTTTAAACCATTGTAATATAATGTAACTTTATAATTGCCAAATGAATTTGCACGATGAGAAGACCATATCCATGTATGTGATTGTAGGAAACGTGTGTTGTCATCATATTATCGATACTCTAGGACAAAGTAAAAATCCAATGGAAAATGATCAGGTTTCACGGGGTGGTAAATACCACAAAAATAAATAAACAATCTGGCAGCCTTGGATCTGAATACTAGTACTAGTATATTGCCGGTTTGACGTTACAGTTGGGTTGGCGATGCAGGGATACCGAGCGTATAGTTTATCGGGCATTTATTAAAGGGTCATTGTTCGCTAGATTGGGATACCAACTGTCAGATATTCCAAGTACACGGCCTCGCGTGTCCGATTGTTTAGCCCCCAGCTATAGTGTCAGATTGTGGTTGTTTTGTATCGATTTTAGTAGGCATTTCACGGTGAATGGATAAGCCAAGCCCCCTTACTTTATGACCTGCCTTCAATGCCCTGCGTATAAACTATTGAATATAACAGAAAGATGTTCACGGTTAATAACATGAATGCGATTAAATTTTAATTAGTCAGACAAGGTTAGTCACATGACTTTCAATGTATTTCAGTGTCAGGTGGTATTATTGTTGAGTACGTCATATAATCTGGTGTCTCGTTCGTAGCTACTCGTCGCCACTAAAATCGTCCTCCGAATATCTATCACACCACTGCATGACGGGTAAATATGTGTTAGTAGTCTGTGGTTGACCATGTCAGCATGTGTATGGAAGCCCGACAACTTCGCGACGCGTGTTGACGGGAGAGCGCGTTACTAAAACACAAATGCCGAATTGAAACATAAAAATAACAATGGAGGGCGATGGTGTTTCTTTGATTTCAATCTGGCAACTTGACAACCTACAAATACTGAATAATAATAATAATAATAATAATAATAATAATAATAATAATAATAATAATAATAATATACACATGTAATAATAATAATAATAATAATAATAATAATAATAATAATAATAATATAATAATAATAATATGCTTATATGTTCACGCAGTGACAATAAATCAAGATGGCAGATCCAGTGACTACCCTGACATCCGACGAGGTTGCAGCGATTAAGAGTTCGTGGAGCGCCGTCTACGACAAGAAGAAAGAAAGCGGAGTGACATTATTCGTAAAGTGAGTTTTACTTATTGTTCCTTTATACAATTTGTTCGAAATCATTTTATCATTTAAAGCGCGGTAGTCGTCGCGCCACGCATGCGCGAGATATGTGGGTCTCATATAAACAAAGATGGCGACTTTGGCTGTTGCGCAGATCAACGAGTACAAACTGAGATGTTACCAAGCTTCAATTAGGTATTTTTTAGGTGATTGGAATGTATCGAAGGAGTCACCGGCGGTAATTAGTTTAAGTCGCGCCCAGGTCAAACCTCATACTTGTGATTTCCATTAGAAGAGCGCATTGGATTGTGGGAAAATCAATGTTTATCAACACAAATGTCGCATATGCGCGGCGCGACGACTACTGTCTTTTAACAGCAGGAACAATAGTAACAAGTACGGTAGCTTTTAGTTACTTTTTTAGTATCACGTCCCTGGTCTATGACAATACACTAAATAATCAATGCACACAACTTGACACTGGCCGTTTTATATTGCAAACATTATTTCGGCAGCCGTTGTACTGTTTATGTTAGTTTGGGTGTATATTTCATTTCTACTTGGCCAGTGACAATGAAAAGGTAAGTGTACTGCTTGAATAGACTGCCATCATAAAATCTCGGAGATCATGGGAACATGAACGAGGCAATTTAGGGGCAGATAAATCGATGTCGTTCTTTACAATAACAACCGAGTAGAGTTTTATGAGTTCGTCTGAATATGGCGGCGGTACGCATTCAGGCATGACCATCAGTTGCTTGTGCTACTCCACAAATCATAAATTAAAGATACCCAAAAATAACGTCAATGAAATGACATCAAGCTAAATCAGGGTCCGACGTCACCAGATCCGGGAAGGTTGTACGTGCAAACTACTGTGAGCCGCGTTAATTTCGAAAGAGACAAACTTTAGCAAGTTTAATAGTGACAATCGCGAAATTGTGTAGCATTGAACATTGGGGGGGAGACCTAAGTGTCAGTGAATTTCGTGAAATTTCATCACGAATTCCATTGAATCCTGAAATAGTGAATAGTGTTAGCACTGACAATTAAAAGGTTTACTGCAGTTTCACCGAATCTATCCACGTCACGGTGACGGAAAATAACGATGTCATCTAACCCTGTCGGCGCTCACCACTTCCACGTCGACTGTGTCCTAGAGCGACACTGGCAATGAGCATTTTCCCCATGATCTCCGCAAATAGTAAATCTGAAGAACGCTCTGAGAGCATTTTTACAATGCCTGCGGTTCGTACACGAAAGTTTTCTCCGAACTTGTCATGCTTTCCCATCACCTTGCCACAGTGTGTGTTTTTGATACGGTAATTTTTATTAAAATATGATAAATAAATGATTACAAAAAAATTTGATTATATTAGCAAGAACTGAAAACAGAAAATATACTAAAAATTTTAAAATTATTTTTTAAATTCCCAAATCCCGTTGATATTACATGTATTATGTTTGATCATTGCATTATTTTACTAATGTAAATATCATAATTAATATTAATACAAATATGAAAGAATATTTGACGTATATAATAATACTATTATTCTAAAACAGGCTATTTACCGAGAATCCTAGCTTCAAGTCGCAGTTCGGCTATATGTCTGGTGTTGCTGATGGTGATATGAAGACGTTGCCAGCCCTGGAAAACCACGGTGTAAAGGTGATGGACAGAATCAACGAGTGGATGGGAAATTTGACCAATGGAGCCGAACTGGTGAAACAACTCAAACATCTCGGAACGACTCACATTGCTCTTAAAGTTACCGAAGACAACTTTAATGTAAGTTTTCATCTTTGACCACGTTCTATGACACATGTTTATAAAATTTTAAAGCGGAAATGGATAAGTTTGGTTAATAATTTTTAATATATTGCTTACACATTAAGTTATTCAAAGTAACGAAATACACTAATTCACAATCATCTTAAATTAGTATCACGTACCATACTATAGTAAATTAAAAGTGGGGTGAATTTTCTAACATGCAAAATGAGTTTCAACTGCAAGACAACCTCGAATACGTGTGAACAGTCAATGCAAATTTGGACATCATTAACGAATTTGTCTCATTTGTCAAATTCGGACATCATTAACGAATTTGTGTCATTTGCTTCAGGCTATGGACTCAGTTCTGATGTACACACTCCAAGAACAAGGCGGCAGTGCTTTCACACCGGCTGCAAAGGCTGCCTGGCAGAAAGCATGGGGTGTGATGAAATCCGTCATCGTGGGCGCATTGAAAGGCTGATAACTTGGTAGAACATAATCCAAGGCATTGTTTTATTAACATTTTTGTTATAAATTTAAATAGTGGAATCACGTGCCGATAACATGTAAACAATGTCTCCTTTCTCTTACTTTCTGTGGAGTTAACAATGATTTAAGTTCGTTTGTTTGCTTATTATGATATTCGCCCGGGCTTTCCTCTCAACAATCATGTTCCGCATACCTGAAATAATATTCAGAGACCTCGTCGAGTTTAACATTCTGACATTAACAACGGCATTTTCAAAATCTATTATTCAATTAAAATGTAAAAAAATCCGTTTAATCATTGCTTGTATTTTCTTCTTTGTTTTTAGAATAAATATTTTTAACAATACATTAGTGTTGTAAATATATATATTTAAAGACGCAATCTGAACGAGAAAATGTAATTTTTAATACAGTTGTTTGACACTGCATATTGATAGATATTGAACTTCAATTATCATAAGCTAAAATCGCTATTGTTGTGGCTCACATCTGAGTATTCATTCAATGAATTCCCCAATACGCATGCGCACTCAGTAGTTGTGTTAGTACGCACAATAATAACCACTTCGCACACATGCGTATTAGTGGTTTTAATTTTTCATCAAACGAATACTGTCGCGGGTCCTGCAAACGCAACATTTTTTAATTTTTTTGATAAATCATAATCCGATTTGGTCTACAATAATTTGCCTATATTCAAACAGTTTCATTCAAACCAATTTGAAGTAAACTACACCAACATGCCTAAAATCAACCTATTTGAATGCCACATACCCCAACCCTTCGAGTATTTTTAAAATGGTTTTACCGTATTACTATTTATTTTTTATCTGAAATTTTGACCCTTGATTTTCAGATCTGGATACCCATAACATTTTGATCAATCTGATTACAATTTGATCTAATTACATCGGTGCATTCTATTAAAAACAATTGGCATACAAATCACCTTCACCTTCGGGATCTCTAGTAAGACGCGTTCTAATAGACGAGTTTTGAGTTTATTGGGTCCCCTGGTTGCTTAGCAACTGATGTCGATGTCGATTTAGTACGGCGGTTGTCCGAAATACCGCACTAGCAGATATTTTACTATCCCACCTTTAGTTTTGTTCCGAACTTATTTTTATTGTAGACATCCACGTTTACCGGATTATTCGCTGAACAAAAAACTAATACGTATTTTGATACCTGTACTCACATTTGTAAGATATTTCTGGGGACCAACATGTATTTCTATGGGCTCTAAGCGAGCTGCTGTGGAATGTCGATCGAATAGCCGGGGAAAACAGCAAAAGTCGAGGAAACAGCAAAAACTCAACTCAAGTAATCCTGAGCAACTACATTTATATATGCTACACATGTAGGGATAATCTTGTTACACTGTTCAGCGGAGTCTAAACAACCATCCCAAAGTATCGTTTTCTGAAAATTTTCGGTGTTTGTTTTCATCGTGAAAATCGGTGACAATGCCCGGATTTTCGCCCCAATATACATATATTATGAAGATTTCTTCACAAGAACATAATACTGAAATGGGACTCACTGCTTAACAAAGTATTACTTTGATATCCAAAATGGTAAACGCCACTATACGTACAATGTCATATTACCTAAGCCTTTTGTTTTTAATAGCTTTACTCACTGGTGGTGGCAGCACCATTACGTACCAACATTAACGCCGAGTACCCGTGTAAAACAGGGAAACAGTGGACGTAATGTGTATATCTTGTGTAAATGACTCGGGAGGAGTACGTAACATTGAAGTACAACACGTGAAGTTATGTTAATTAGTTGGCCAGCCAGTCACGTTGGGCGATTTGTTTCTGAGTTGTCTTCGTCAATTAAGTTATCAAGGTACTATCTCTGTAAATAGTCATCTTGATTTTCAATGTACTAGTATAGTGTAAAAGCTTTCTCCGCCACATGTCTGTTTCGTCTGAGAGGGCGATGTTTACGTTTCTCCGGTCACAGAACATTTTTCTTAAAAATGTGTGTGGTGAAAATAGCAATTCAAAAAACTACAGCACAGGATATATTAAATCACTAACCCCAAGCTGGGAGCGAGTGAAAAAGTTTCCACATTGAGATAGCGATAATGGGATGCCAGAACCAAGAAAAGGTTGGTATTGTATCGGAGGAACATACATCGACACATTCATTAGGTATGACGTATTTGGTCGAGTGAGGGCGGTATTAAATGTGAGGTGTTGCATCTTCATACGCTCCAAAAATTCAACATTTGTTCAGGAGATGTGAAAGCACAAAACTAAGTGAAAAAAAAACATTTCCTTCTAGGCCATCAATAAAGAGCTAATGCTCGAAACGTCCCGCTCTTTTGAATGGTTACTTAGTGCAATGATTATCAAATATTATCTGCTAAATATATATATAATATTTATCGGTTCGACCAGCGTTTATTTATTCACTATTTCAGCCAATCAGCATCAAGTAAGTTATTTGTGGACACACCCAAGCCACGCCCAATTTTTCTGAAGAGCGCCCTCAACCTTGGATTGTGTCAAATCTCAGGAACCGTGCACAGACGCTGACTGTAAGTGAACTGTAACCTGATTTGAACATTGATGCTAAACTGTTGATGTATTCAGGTGTTCGTTCCTTATCCACACCTGTGTTTTTTTTTTTTTGATTGTTTGATTGGCTTTGTTAGGTACGAATTAGCTGATTTTATTATTCATTGAAGGACCGATTAACACATTTAAAGCGG